TTGACTGTAGTTTGTTGGATCGTGTTGTCCTTGATTGAATTGCATGTTATTATTTTTTTTACACCTGATCTTTGTTTTTGTAGATGTTCCATTGTCGACGTGAAGTCGATAAGTGGAGAATATATTCTGATGTTCATTTCTGGCTCATTTAAAATCGGTGATGTAACCGTGTCCGGTTTCTTTTATCACCAGCTAATCAGTAAGTGTGAACACACTGCATGTCAGTGCTTCCAAGACTGTAGCTGGACATGTGGGTCAGCATTCCCAGGTGGACCATTACCAACGGAAGTGGCTCCAAGACAAGGAATTCCACATATAGGCTCATTTTTTTGTTGTTGTTGGAGGTCCAGAAACTTTTTTTTTGGTCAAAATACTATAGGACTGCTTTAGAAATGTATGTATCTCTATTAGGTCACTTTTTAATTTATTTAAAAAAAAAACATTTTTACTATTTGCACAAACAGTGATTTGTTTGTTTAATATACTCACAAACACTTAAGTATTACAACAATATTTTAACATTAATTTGTCTTCAATTTAATTCTAATAGTTAGCTCACAGGTTATACTGTCAACTTTGGTAAAGATCCCTAGCTACGACGTCGGAGATGTTACTGAGTGATGATCTCTTCTCGCTCTCAAGGCCGGCATGTTTCCCTGTGTGGTCTGCACTCATCAGTAATCCCAGAGCAGATGGAGGGTTTTGTAAGATTTAGTATTTAATGACTTGAAGTGAGCAGAAAGTCAGGGTGTTTCCAAAAAAAAAAAAAAACTGCGCAAACAGCAAATCACAAGCCTTATCTTAGATAACAGGTGGAACCGATCATTAATGCAGTGTTTTTACAGCTGCATACATTTCATCTCATATATTATATTCTACGGTGAAATATACTAGCTGCAGTCTGTTATTAAAGAAAAGTTGAAGTCAAGACCACAACAAGTGACTGTTGAATCCACGAGTTCTCTCTGTGCAACCTAATCTCCTCCATATGCTTGTCTTGTGATTCACCGGTGACAACAAGTCACACACTG